CAGTCCCTCCTCCTCAGTCCCTCCTCCCCAGTCCCTCCTCCTCAGCCCCTCCTCACCAGTCCCTCTAGATGTCTCGCCTATTTGCCCAGTGTTCCCAGTGGCGGGCCTGGATGTCATGTTTCCTAAGCAAACCAATGGATGGTTACAGACACCTCAGGCAATGATCTACCCACTAGAAAGAGGTGATTGGCATTTCAAGTGTGAGGAGCCAGGATGTCTCAGGCTACCCAGAAGACTCCCCACCCCCCACCTCTGACAGGCCCTTCCCATGATTCTAATTCCCTTCATCCCTGCCTCTCTTCTAATGAATTAGAAACTGACTTCCTGGGCGAAGCTTCCATTGCCACAGAGTGTGCAAGCATGTGTGCATGTACATGCTGTGTATTCACACATGTCTGGAACAGGATATGTACAGCAGAGTGCTCAGGTGAGTGACGGACTCCACCACATTTTATTCCGCATCCTCCACTCCACCACCACCTGAAGCTCCGTCATTCCTTGAGCACAAGTCTGAAGATCTCACAAGCAAGAACAGTCCCCAGAGAGGAGCCAGCACAGTGTGACTTCCTGCCCAGGGTACGTGTGCATCGTCTAAGGGACTTGTCTATGCTCAGCCAGAGCTGGTACAGCCAGGGCATACGTGTCCACAAGCTCAGGATAGCTTTCCTGGGAACACGATCTTCTTAGTGGATAGCAAGGTATCTCAAGAGGGTCTAGAAGCAACCGGAAACTTCTACAGTCATGGCAGGGGAGGTTTGCTTTAGAAACTACAAAGGTGAAGATCTCTCTGACATTGATCTTGAGGGAATATGGAGGAAGGGTGGACCTGAGGCCCAGCCTGCCCCTACCTAGCAGCGTCCTCACACCCGTAATATCTTCTGTCCACTCATGAATGACTCAGTTCACTGGGGAAGAGGGACTCTTGTGAGTTTGGGTCCTAGGCTAACACCCCCAGTAGGCTCACTAACGATAAACAAAAGAAAGCCTAGGTGAGGTCAAAGCAGTTGGGAATTCAAGGTCAGCCTCTGCTACCTAGGGAGCTTAGGGCCAGCCTGGGCTATGAGAGACCCATCCCCAAAGGGTAGAGGATCTTTCCCTAAAGTCACTGCCCTGCTATGGACACCTCACAGTGTCACAGCTTCTTTCCTGTTCAGCACCCTTGATCACGTCCTTCACCTGACCGGAATGACCTTCTCCATCCAACAGTCAGCCCTCCAGTCCACAGACCCCTTTTCCCTGGAGCCTCAGCTGACAGTGGCCTCTCTTCCCTGGCACATTGTGTGAGGGAGTGAATAGAAGAGCCTGGGGGAGACAGAGGAGGAATGAACCCGAGTTTGAATCCAGCTTCCACACCTGTGACCCCCACCATCGTGCTTACCGTCTCTGATCCTTGGTCTCCTCGTGTGTTAGTGCCGGTAGGCAGATATCTAACGGGGCTGCCATAAGGATGAGCAGTGGAGGGGCAAGAGGTGTATGACCCACATGCTGCTCCCACCAGGTAGCTCTGGATGGACGGGTGGTGGCTGAAGCTGTTGAGGACCAGGAGACTGAGGTGTTGCTGTTGGTTGGTTACACCTTTCACCTTACCCAGCTAGGTCATAGCTACCTGCCTAGAGGGCACAGCCCCTTCCTCTGCACTATCGCTGGCCCACCCTGGCCACTGACACAGACACGGTGTAGGAAGGAATCTCCCTCCCCAGGAAGAGGCCATTTACCTCCGAACAGGCTCTGTGCCTGGTGATGACTTGGTGGCCCCTTCCCTCCCACCACCTAGGTCCTGTCGAGTACTGCCATCCCCTGGGACAGTGTTGAGAGTGCTATCCCCCTGGCTGTGGATCCTGCAAACTCCAGCTCTTGTTGTGTGGACCTCAATGCTATCGACAGGCATGACATCTTCGATGGGGTGTGAAGGGTCCTGGGGCCCACATGTCCCTGAATTATGGCATTTTCTGTCTAGAAAGCCACAACATCACTATGAGGATTCAAAGGCAATTTTTAAAATATTTTATTAATATTTTATATCCATGGGTGCTTTGCCTGCATGTATGTCTGTGCATCACGTGCATGCAGTACTCACCGGGGCCAGAAGAGGGCATCAGACCCCCTGGAACTAGAGTTTACAGATAGTTGTAAGTTGCCAAATGAGCACTGGGAACTGAACCCCTGTCTTCTGGAAGGTAGCTAGTATTCTTAACTGCTGAGCCATCTCTCCAGTTCCAAGGCAATTTTTAAATTTTTACTTCTCTCTCTCTCTCTCTCTCTCTCTCTCTCTCTCTCTCTCTCTCTCTCTCTCTCTCTCTGTGTGTGTGTGTGTGTGTTGTGTGTGTGTGTGCTTGGAGGCCAGAAGAGGGTGTTGGACCCTCTGGAGCTGTAGTCATACAGAAGTTTGAGAGCCACCAGACACAGGTGCTGGGAATTGAACTTGAGTCCTCTGCAAGACCAAATAGGCTATAGTTATATAGATTTGTATACAAAGTCCCTTCCATGGGGAAGGACCCAAGGGTCAAGGTCAGGCTGGAGGAGCTAAGCTAGCTGAAGACACAGATAAAGAGGTGCCCTCCTTAGCAGATGGAGCTTCTCTCCTCTACCCTGCCTTTGCCTCACCCCTGATCCAAAGGCTCTGGTTATCTGTATAGGTCATAGAAGAGCTGTAATGAAGAGTATTGGACTCTGTCTGAAGAACACTTAAGCTTCCCTATAAAGTTTGCATCCCTAAAAAAAAAAAAAATAAATAAATAAAAAAAAAAAGTAGAAATGGCATAGCTACCTTCCTTGCTCCTCAGACCTGGTTGGCCCTCCCAGC